TATGTATGTATGTATGTATGTATGTATGTATGTATGTATGTATGTATGTGTGTGAGTGAATACACCTGATTGCGGATGTATTCAAATGCTGGATATAACGGAAGAGGTGCTTCTCTCTGGCCTTCTGTACCTCGCTATGTTTGCGTGGGGCTTTTTGACTCCACTTAACGGTCGCCATGGCCGTGAGCTACGTGCACCACCGATCGACTTGATGCATCAGATTGTGGCTCATTTTCTGGACTTGTCATCTGCACATTTGGTCGCCTTCAGCACGGGGGCCGTCGCCTCGGCTCGAGCCGCTCTAAGACCCGGTTCCTTTTCGGAATGATACAATTTCATTTTGTTTTTCATTCACATGCTTCCAGTCAGCCTGTATATTTGTCTGTCTTTCTGTTCGGCTGCTGGTAGGATGTGCTGTCGGCAACCGACGAGGCATCTACAGCTCACGCCCCCTCCCCTACACGTACACACCTGTGTATAATGGCCGTAACCAGGCTCCGGCAAATTAGTTTCTCACCTTTCGAGGACCACATGGGGGGGGGCTGGGGAATGCAAGGCGGCTTCTCATGGAGACTCGAATCAGTCGGCGTTGTTCCAGACCATGTCTGCGAGGGCAGATGAAGATGCGCCGAGTTGAAGCGTCATTACATCGAAAGACTCGATGTACGGCTCATTTGGTTGAGGTTGCCACACGGAAGTGAAGTACAGAGGCAGGCTCAAACCGGTCACTTAGGGCGCGAAGCATACTGGGTTATCGGCGAGTTCGAGTACCTCCGACGCATCTGTCCTTCATCATAGATGTCTGCAGAAGACATCAGTTTTGCTGCAGATAGCTGTGGAGATTTTTATTTTGTATGAAAGTGTATAAAAACATTTTGAGTGAAACTGGGTCAGTCTTTCGTCTGTCATATTACAGACATCACCAAGGCTGGGAATCATTCTTGAAAAAAGTTGACACTTAGCCAAGAAGGCTATCAGCTTCTATCCTACATGCTATGTATGCTCCTAATTTAAAAGTAAAAAATATGGATGTAGGATGATTTAGTTAGCTTTATTCGATATTAGTCAGAGTACCTTTACTTGAGTGCGTGCTTGTCTTAACGTCTGTACGCAATACCGTTTAAAATTCATCTTCCGGTGAGATCAACCAACGAATCTCTTCACCATGTACTTTCATACGAGATTAAAGTCTCCATAACAGTGTTTTATCCTAGGAGATTAATCGAAACCAAGCTACTTTTAGTATCTGAGGCATTTATGTCATGACAACGATTATGCTTTAGATCTAATTGTAAATGATATCTCGAAGATTATTCGACAGGAGATCGGCGTTCTCATATCCTAACTTTGCCCGCTGGTCTTATCTCTGGGCGGGTAGGCAATGAGAGATTAGGATAGCTTTCAGGGGAACGCTTACGTCTTCTTCGTCAGTGCCGATTTTTGGAGATAAATAGGACCCACTGTCAAGATATGGCTGCTGAAACATTGTAGCGTATAGTCAGAATAGGGGTTTGAGTTCAAAAAGGTCACCTTTATATATGTATACATATATATATATCAACTTAAGTATAGAGTCAATGATGATATTGATAAATCTGGTAATGTAGTGTATACATTTTACCTGTAATGGTGAGCTGTGCAAATAAATATAAGAAAAGTTGGGTTTCGAGGAATCTCTTGTTTCATAATTGTTGGGATTACTTCCATTTCGAGTAGAAGTATTTGGTGAAGAGATTCGTAGGTCGGTTCCACCAGAAGACGACGGCGAATTCCTCTTGG